ATTGCCTTGGAAAGAGTCAGGAAACAACTGTTTACCATTTTATGTACAAGAATCATTAAAGTACTAGAAGATATTATTTAATATCTCTTGGTTTTTACTCCTTTAAGAGAAATAATGCTAATTGCTCTACGTTCCCTAATTTGTATCATTCTTCCAATTATTTTTCTATCTTTATGTCTCTATTCTCAGCATTCTTTATTTTCTCTACACTCTTAAGCTGAGGGACCCAAAGTTTGTTGAGAAAATAATTATTTCCATATTTTTGTTTCTTCTCTTATGTCATATTTAAAAGAATGTAAATGTTTTCCAAAATTAAACTAAGAGATACAGAGGAGGTAAAGAAGTAGAAACCATTGACCTTAATCGCAAAGAATTGATCACTGCTGATGGAAATGTAAATTGGCACAGCCACTATGGAAAACAATATGGAGGTTCCTCAAATATTAAGAATACAATTACCATATGTCCCAGCAATCCCTCTTTTGTGTATCTACCCAAAAAAATCTGAAAAAAATTTATCCATAAAGATATGTGCACCCCTATATTCATCACAGCATTATTGGCCAAGACCTAGAAACAGTCCAAATGCCCTTCCACAGATGACTGGAAAAAGAAGATGTGGTACATATGTACAATGGAATGTTACTTGGCCAGAAGAAAAGATGAAATACTGCCATTTGCAGCAACATGGATAATCTTGAGATTATCATGCTAAGTGAGTTAGACAGAAAAAGTCGAGAACCATATAACCGTGGGATATAAAACTGAAAGCAACAAATGAACAAGACAAACTAACATACAAACAAACAAAAACTCATAGACACAGAAAATAGTTTAGTGGTTACCAGAGGGTAAGGAGACGGGGTGGTAGAAGAGGGTAAAGGGGGTCAAATATATGGTGATGGAAGGAGTACTAACTCTGAGTGGTGACCACACAATGCAACATATAGATGATGTATTACACAGTTGTACACTTGAAACCTATATGATTTTACTTACCAACGTCACCCCAATAAATTTAATAAAAATGCATAAAAAATTTAAAAAGAATTGATCACTGTGTATGGGAAGCAGGATGCACATAAACTCCTAGTAATTCAAGAAAAATGTTAGTGTGTAATTCAAGGGCCAGGTTGCACACTATAGAAGTGTTTTAGCCATTTAGAAAAGCAATGGAATATCAGGGGCTATTAAGAAAGAATTCATGGACACTAATAAACATAGAGCGCGACTTAAAGAGCATCTAAGATTTAGAGGGGAAGAATAGGAAGGAGTATAAAAGGAGGGAGTAAAAAAGCAGGGAGGCTGGAGTATAAAGATATCTGGAACAGAGGGTTTTTATGGAAAATACATCTAAGATACTTATTTTTAAAAAATATTCCTCCCATAAAACCTTATATTTATATTGATAGTCACCCTGTCCATTATGGACATCATCTAGATAGATAAAGGTCATCATATTTTCTCCTCAACAATGATGCTTTCATAAATTGATCTATTTAGCTTCGATAATGAATAAAAATCATGTTGACTTTTAATTCTATCTATGCTCTTAATTAGCATTTCGATATTAAGTAAACATGAAACATTACAAAATATGGGGCCTAGTCATCAGATTACAGAAATCTGATAGGCCAAGTACATGGTAGGGGCTTAATAAATATTTATTGAATCAATGGAAAAAAAGGAAAGGAAAAGAGAAAAAAGAAAGGAAGGATGGAGTTTGGAAATATTATTTCTCTTTAATTTTTCAAAAGTTAGGTGAGCAATTATTTAACTCATAACTTAATTAGTATTTTGAATCTTATCTTTAGGTTTGATTCTTCATAATTTGCCAAATCTTCAAGAATACAGGGTACATGTTGGTACATTTTTATTTTCTTTTTTCAGATTAACTATGGTTCTGCATCTTTTTCTAAGGTTCCTGAAATTTTCAATAGGTAACAAGAGTTATAACATAAACAGTTCCATTATTTCTTCAAGAATAGCCCAAATTTGAAATATCAAAAGACAGCTCAAGAGTAATAGGGGAAAACAGGAATAATTTAGTTCAATCTTACAATACTCTAAAGAAAATAAAAAAGAATTCCAGGAAACTTTAGTTGCAGTACAAATGAACCCCCCTACTTTATATAAGCCTTCCTGAGCTACAGAGGTAGAGGGGGGAGTGGAACAAAGAATGTGAGAAGAAACAAGTAGTTATTTACAATAACAAACGCCTTTCCCCAGGGGTAAGTTATTCTGGAGCAGGAATGCACAGAGAGATCCTTTGCATAAGCAAGAACTGAGTAAGATAAACATTTCTGACACTGTCACAGATTTGGAGACTAGAACTGAGTAAGATAAACATTTCAGACCCTGTCATAGATTTGGAGACTATCTCAGCATTCCAGACTCCCCTGTGTTGTATATTGTGGGAAAAGGGCCACCAGCCTTGAAACCAAAATGGCCTGTTCTCAGAGTGACATCTGCATTTAAGAGCAGGATAGCCCTGGGCGTCATTTAGTCCTTCTGAGTCTTTTTCCATCATCTGCAAAACAGGGATAATCCTACCTACCTCTTAGGATGGTTGTACTGATTAAAAAAAAAAAAAAGTGTCTGCAAAAAGCCTGAGTGTCTGGCAAATAGGAGCTCAATAAATTGTAATTTGTATTAATTCTTAAATGACTAATGGGGCTCAAATTTCCCCACTTCACTGTGGCAAGAGGGAAAGGCCTCCTTACTTTAGTGAAGACAATCAAATCAACTTGTTAATTCCAAACAGAGCCATTCTTATGGAGTATCTACATGGAAAGAATAAAGCTAGAGCCAATTCTCAATTATCCGATGCAACAAAACAAGACATACAGTAGTCCCCTTTTATTCACAATCTTACTTTCTATGGGTTCAGTTACTCGAGGTCAACTGTTGTTCAAAAACATTAAATGAAAAATTCCAGAAATAAACAATTCACAAGTTTTAAATTGTGTATTGTTCTAAGTAGTATGATGAAATCATGCTGGGGTGTGAATCATCCCTTTGCCCAGCTTATCCACACTGTACACTGCCCCCCCCGCCTGTCAGTCACTGTGTAGCTACCTCAGTTATCAGATCAGTTATGAGAGAGAGAGAGAGAGAGAGAGAGAGAGAGAGAGGAGAGAGGGAGACCACATTCACATAACTTTTTGTAAATTGTTATATTGTTATAATTACAGTACATTGTTATAATTACAGTATATTGTTATAATTACAATATATTGTTATAATTACAGTATATTGTTATAATTATTCTATTTTATTTCCATTGCTGTTAATCTCTTACTGTGCGTACTTTATAAATTAAACTTTATCATAGGTATGTATGTATAGAAGAAACATAGTATATATAGGGTTGTGTCCTATCCACACTTTCAGGCATCCACTGGGGGTCTTGGGACGTATCCGGTACAGATAAGGGAGGACTTCTGCCCCTGGGAGCAGGAGGTACGTGTTTTTTTGTTCTATTTCTGTCTTCGGTTGCAGCTCCTCACCTCCCCTTTAACCACCCCCAGTCTCCACTCTAATTCACCTACACTCTGTCAGTCTTTCCCTCACATCTACCACCCACCAAACTTATTTAGTTTTTTTTCAAATTTTAAGAAGTTTCCTATTGAAAAATGTAAGGATCTGGAAAAATCTAAAATTCAAATCAATCATTCTATGCAACATAAAAATTCCCTCCCCCTAGACCTTGACCATGACATACGTCTTGGATCTGTCCACATGCTGCACAGCACTGTAAATGGAAATGCTGTTTTAAGATATTTCAAATTATGGTTAAAATATACACAAAGCACTGGAGAGAGTTTGGGGCTTTGTATTAGAATAAAGGAAAGCTCTTTCTAGTTTTTAGTTACATAAAATTATTGTAAACCTTAAAATCTAAAATGTTTTAAAAATGTACAGTACATCAAGAGTAAGCTTTTTTAAAATCTCAAATCCATGTATTACGCTATTGGTGAAATCTACTTTGCAGGCTGAAGATACAAAAGCTGGAGTTGAGTGGCTCTAGACAGACTTTTTAAAAAACCTGTGAAATGTTTTATAGCCACAGAAATGGTTCTGGAAACAATAATATTAAAACTATTCAAAGGCTGAATATTCTAGTTGCATAATACAAATACAGAATAATTTGCAAATGGATCCTTTAACAATGTTTTTGGTTATGGATATAATGGTGTTGAGGGAACAATCTCAGGTCATACTCATAGATGCCGAATATCACCAACAATCCTTTCTCATGGCCAGTCTGGGAGAAGTTTGTGAAGTATTAAGTTTGTGTTAAGACTGCTCCACTTTCTCACCTGTAACTTCCCCAGGCCTGTTCCTATTATATGATTTCATCCCTTGTCTTAAAGATACCAACCTGATAAATCACCGATCAGGGTAAATTAGTTTATGTCCAACCTCTTACGCGAGTCTTCACATTAGAAAAAAAGTGATTAGCAGGAAGTATCTGACCCTCAAAGAACAAATCTCTAATGGTAAAATTTCAGACATCACCATTTTTAGGTAGGGTATTATTTGAGTCAGAAAATATTTCCTAGCCCAGGACTATAACTAGAATTATATTAGTAGTAATAATTGCCTTCTAAACTATTTCTCAAATTTTGATCGTGAGATCACTTGTACTATAATCACCAAAGATACCCATTACGAGACAGAGAGAGAGAGAGAGAGAGAGAGAGAGAGAGAGAGAGAGAGAGGTTGATTTCTAGGCCTGATCCCAGAATCATTAAATCAGAATCTCTGGGAATGAGGAACTTATAATTTAGAAAGAAAAGATAAATGGGTAATCAAATTCAAATGAGTATTATTATCCCAAGTTTGGAAATCATCAGATTATACGTTATAAACAAAAGCTCAGGGTTTCCATGCATTGATTATCCTACCAGTATTCATTGTGGCATGGGGGAATAGAAATTTTTATTTTAAATTGGTAGCTGTATATAAGGAACCCAAATTTTATCTTTTGGTCTTACCAGGCACTCCAGCTTGGATCCAGAAGTTGATGTCTGTCCCTTCTCCATCACTAAAGACCTGTGTGATATTGATGGGCTGCAGCAGGTTCATGACCTCCTTGATGATGGCCCTGGCCTTTTCACTGCCAGTGAATTGCAGCCCAGAGGGTAAGAAAGTTCCAGAGTCAGACTCCATCACCAGGCTATATTTGGAAATATTTGCCTAAACAAAAGAGGAAAGTGTGGTTTATTTCTGTTGCTTGTTTGCTTTCTCCTTAGGAACTATCAACAACAATAATCAAATACTTCATCTCCTCACCAGTTCTTGCCAAAACACATCTTGCTCTGTCTGACTTAGGGTCTGGTCTGCCTATTACCTAACTGTTCTGAGAAGCACAATTACTCATCCTGGAATTTGCCAAACTCGAGTTGACTTGGAAGGATTAAAAAAATATAATGAAAAGAAATATAAAGCCCCATATTAAAAGTATTCAATTATTGCTACTAGCCAAAACAGTCTTTGAACCCATTTTCTTAAGTGCCTTCTGTGTACCAGGATGCAAATCCTTCTATACAGTGGGGGATACCCAGATAGTATTAGTGGTGTTCAGACAAAAGAAGGTATGCTTTGTGGACTTATTTCTCTGTATCTCTTTCCTCTAAACAGATATTCTGTCTTATTTTAATTGTGAGTTCTACTGAATATTAAAGGCATCAAACAGACAGGTTTGTCTTGGGTTTCTGGTGTTATTATTCCATCTCTGGGGAGGGAGGTAACAGAACAACAACATACGAAACGCTGCTCTCTCTGGTGTACAACCATAGCACTCCAAACCATGGCAACTCTGCCAGGCCGCTAGTTTCCAAATAAAGTCTGGTAAGAAAGCGCACAGTGATTTCATATAGTCAATATCATCACTGTAAGAGCTTAGGATGTAAGAAACTCTCGTCAGGTTGTACAGCTAAATTGCCACACTGACCTAAGACTTGAAAGTTTAAGGTCCTTCAAACTGGCCTGGCCACCTGTCTCCCTGGAACCACCCACTTCTTCAAGACTGACCAACTACTATCAACAACTACTCGGTTGAGTTATTTCCAAGCTTCTTGGATGCTACTGTATTTGTTCCTCATTATTCACTTAGCAAAAATCAATAACAACATCTGTACAGTGTTTCCAGAGAGCTTTCACATTTGCAATCTCCTTTGATCTTCTTCCATAACCCTTGAAGTACACAAAGCAGCTTTATGGTTCATGCTGTTTTATAGAAAAGGAACTGAGGATTAGAGAGGTCAAGTGATTTGCTCAAAGTCACACAGTTGCAAATGGTAGAGCTCGGTCTGAAATCCCATGCTTTCCAAAACTCCATACTGCCACCGCTTGCATGGGGTAGTAGAGTGATAAGTAATACTTGTTCTGCATTCGAATGATTTTTTTCACTTACATAACAATTTGAGGGTTGCATAATTTTGTTTTTCTAAAACAGACTGTAAATAGATTCTAATACAACGATTTCCTAACTATTGCCATGGAGTGTACTATTGTCACAAGGGCAAAAGCAGTGGCGAGTTCCAGAGCAGGATGTTGTCAGCACTGACAGCACTAAACGTGTTGGCTCTGGAATACCAACATTTTGTTGCTGTTAATGTTGAGGAAGTTAACAAAGCAGAAGTTTGCTCATATTTCTACTCTCCCGTCTAAGGAATTTCCGTCTTCATGGTGATTTTCAGAGAAAGACCCAAGGCATTTATAATAAAAAGTGCCACCTCAGTTTTCCACTGTGACTACTCCGCAATGGAAGCATCTTTAATAATATGCAAAATATTTGCATTAATGCCTTACATTCAAGGCTCGTTTAACTAGCACCCTGATGCCAGGTCAGCAGGTTGATATATCCTAACCCTTCCCCCCACCCCAAGTTCTTTCTGTCTCCTGTAAAGAGGAGAATAAAAACATCACAACCTATCTGCAAATGAAAACAGAATTAGGTAATCTTACATGTGAGAGTTCCCATAATGTAGGCAGAGCCCATCCTTCCAACAAGAAAATTAGGCAAAGTGCTTCTAATTACGTACAATTTAGGTTAAAAGTGGAGCTAGGTAGCAGTTTGGCCATCAGACCCAACACTAACAAGCAGCTTAGTGAGGTGGACACAGCACTAGACATGCTGTATTCTGTTACTGACTTAGCAAGTGACACGCTGGCTGCCGAGGGGGATGACTGGCTTTCTCCCTCTATCCCCATGTCATGTCACTTTGGCCTTTGGCTTCTCCATCTGTAAGTTGGTACAAATGCTCTTTTCCAAAGCTTGAATAATGAGCCTGCACATATGGAGCTTTGAGTGCCTCCAAAGAAAAGACTTGTAGCCCAACATGAAAGTGATTGCGTGAGTTGAACTTGCCAGGGCATCTAACACAATGTTAATTAAGGGCTCCTTGGCCCTCTTCAACTGCAAATGAACGGATGTCCTAGGGACAAACAACTCCACAGTTTGTGAATGCCCTGTGCAATGTTACAGGATGTTGATAGGAACATAAAGAATAACGTAGATAAAGGAGATTTCAAAGGTGCTGTATGCTGTATGTGCGGCAGCCAGTTTAGCAGAGAGATGAAGAGTTTGAGCTTTGGAATTATTCAGACTGTGTTTAATCCTCAGGGTAACCAGTCATTGGCTTTGTGACTTTGGCCAGACTGGGTAACTTTTCAGTTCTTCCTCCATGAAGTGGGCATGATAATAGTAGCCAGTTCATGGAGTTGTGAGAAAGAATGTATTGTAAAGCCTGGCACATAATTAGCACTTCATAAACAGTTGTTGTTTCGGGTCTTACCACCAAGTATCTGTACCTCCCAAATTTTCAAGGATGGTCTCCATTTAAGCCATTCTGTTAGTTGCTAGTAATGATGATAGGCAGCATTTTTGCGGTGCTTTCTGCACTCCAGATGCTGTGTGAAATGCTTTACAGCTTACCCCATGTAATGCTCACATTCTGTAGGTGCTATTGTAGTTCTCATTTTATAGGTGAAGCAACTGCGGTTTAGTCAGGCTAATTAGCTTTCCCAGGGTTACCTAGTTAGTAAGTGGGGCAGCCAGAATTCAAATGCAGAGGTTTGCCCTACCTGCTTGTGCTCTGCACCCCTCCCTACCACTGCCCTGTCTCCGGAAGCTTACTTCCATGTGGCAGACCACAAGGCCTCACTTTTAATGTAAAATACAGAGACTGTAGTTACAAATATATAGAGCTTGAAACTTTTATGATCATAATACAAGGTCTACTTGGACAGAATTTATTGTCTTTGCTAATAATTTAATTAAGCAAAGAGAAGAATTAAAAACAAAAACAGAACCAAAAAAAAACTATTGCTCTATAATTTCCTTCCAACTAGAATAAAAAGCCTGAAATAATAAAACATCATTTCAAGCCGAATTAGACAGTATGTGCAGATGTCAGTAAACCAGAATTCTGGCGTAGGTAGAGACATGTTTGATTTCTATTGATGTAGAATTTTATTAGCTACTGCTAATGTGATGTCAGCATTCTATTGTTTTCTATTTGTAGATAAATATCACCATATGTTTTCAATACAGAACTAAGAAAACAAGCCACCCACCATCCATGACACTGCCTTTTCCTCCTCATTTATGGGGAGTCATTGTCTAATTGTTAGCACATGGTGAAGGAGCTGGGAAAATGAAACGTCTCTGAACAAAGAAACTGGAATACATAAGCTGGGTCACTGGGCCCCATGGACCTGCTGGTTCTCAGAAACGTGTCACAGACATCTGTGTTCCTTACTACGCCATGAGTTGTTGAGGATACACTCAGTGTAGACTTGAAAAGCTGGTTATAGCCAGTGACTGTGGAGCAGATCCATGCTTGTTTCACTCAACCAATTTTAGCATATAACAAGCTACTCATCCTCCTGTTTATGGCGCGTAGAAAGCAACCTCCTTCCAGAGACTGAATGCTTTATTGCTGAAACAAACAGCACTGGTTGAGACAAGATGAGGCATATGGATGAGGAGGCTGAGCAGCTCAAAGACAACCCCCACTCTGCTCTCTCGATAAAGAGAAACACCGCTTTATTAGCAGCCATGGGAACTGCCTTTCATTGCCATGTTATGTACATAACGCATTGTAGAGAAATGCTCCAGGTAACCTCCTCCGTTGGGATCACTGGATTAGGTAATATCTGCTCAGAGTTAAGCATTTATACTGTTTTGTGCTAGAATCACATCCTATCACAGTTCTTTTCTTTTTTTAAGGGTCAGTTCACTTTGCCAAAGAACAAATTGTTAACCGTTAGCATAGAAACAACGTGTTTAAAATACATACTGCATGTTTTAAAGTGCTTATTCCCTAGTATAAACACAAAGATGATGTTTGTGTTTATAAACTTTTATAAAATTCCAGGCAATCTTCTTCAGAAATATAGACCCAAGTCGAGCATCTCTTCTTCCTTCAAATTTGGCTTCCTCTTTGTTTTAAAGCTTTTATTTTCTTATAACCTAGGTGACAGGTCTTTGGTTTTTAACTAAAGTGACATTGCAGTCCCAAAATCAAAGGAAGAGAAAAAGAAATGCCTAATTATTCGAATTAATCATGTAGCTTTCTCAACTCAACCTTCAAAGAAGTAAACTCCGCCCTGACACTGGGCAATCAGTCTTGGGACCACTGTCCAGCCCTAGTAAATGTTAATATTTTACAGATGATGATGGTGATGCTGTTTGGTCAGGTGGTGGGCTCAAAACAAGCTCTGAGAAGCTAATCATCTAATGGTACTCTGTGCTTAGTTGTTGCAATTATCTCCTCCAGCTGTGCCAATGACCCTGGAATTCCCAGTTCAAGGGGTGAAGCTGCACAGAGCTTCAGTTCAAACAGCTATCATGACTGGGTGATAGGTAAAGAGGTATCTGCCTGCTGTGCAAAGCTAAGAATAGGTTTTACTTTCTGGTCAGGTCTACCCTGAAGCTCAGACTTTTGTTTCAGACAGTCTCCAGCATTCAATTTTGAACAGCTTTGGGTCCCCAAGATAGAGCCAGGAAAGGGATGATGACAAAGTAGAGAGTCACAAGTTACTTTTATTTGACAGCTAAACTGGCTGCAGCTTGGGAAAACGGGCAGTCTTGGGTAAGTTACTTTAGTACTAAAATTGACACCTATTGTGGTGTAGCCACCATTCTGCCTGCAGGTGGGAACAGAATAAATGACTTCTGGAGATCTCTT